CGTATTGCCATTTTAAATCTGTCAAACTATAAAAAGAATTTATAATATTAATTATAATAGAAAAGCTTATGTAATTATAATTACATATTCTACACTTCGCAGTAGCTATACATAAACAGAGACCTGATCAGGCAAGCAATCTTCTCTAGAATGGTGCACACTTCAGTAAGGTAGAGAGCATGAACACCAACGGTAAATTATTGGGCTGGCATAAAGCCATAGCAAATAATCAATGAATTAACTTTCTAATAATAATACTTACCATATGGAAGAGATATTTAGACTGGGATTCTTGCTGTATAGATAGAAATTGCAGGTGTTCCTTACTTCTAAATATGAAACGAAAAAGAGAAACAAGTAATATAATTATAAATGGAGAAGTAAAAGGGAAAAAATTATCAAAAGAAACCAAACCAAGAATACAAATTTGGGACGCAGGATTACAAACAAATTCAATGATGAAGCCCTTTGAGAGTGAGAGACAGTATATAGAGCAAGCCAAACACAAAGCTTTAGGTTGCGCTTGCCATGCAAGGGGTGGCTGGGTCTTGTTGAAAGATTTAAACCACAAAAAAGTAAAGAAAGAATAAAATATAGCACAATGATTAGTATACACTCTAATTTAATAAATTATACAATATACTCATTAAAAAATTATTAATTTTTAATTTAAAATTAAAGACAGACAAGTTAAAATATACAATCATGCACACAAAATACAAAAATAAGGTAAACCAATTATATTTATATTATATTATAAATTATTGAACTGAAAATGTATTAAAAAATATGTTAAATTGAGGGTGTACATACCATCTTCTTAAAATATAACAATAGAATATTTTTCTTTCTTTTGATAGTAAACACTCAAAGAGAATTAATTCATTACAAAATAATTAAGAGAGAATTAATTCATTACAAAATAATTAAGAGAGAATATATAGATTAAGTAAAACATAAAGAATTTTCGTAAAATAAGTTAAGCAATTCGACAGTATTGTACCGTAATTAACTAAAAGCTGATTGCATTACATTGGCCCGTAGACGAGCATGCATAATCATTAATTCACTAATGAGGAGACTGACTAGACCAGAGCTCAAGACCATAATGAAATATAAGCGTAATGTACTTAAAATGGCCGAACTACACCGGCCAACCATGGGCCCAAGAATTTGTAAAATAGTTGTGTTTTATTATATTGGGCCTTATCATTTTAAATAAATCTTTTAATAAAAGAATAAAATTAAAAATAAAAATTTAAGTGATGGGCTTTGTTTTGGATTTGGCCAAATTCAAGAATTACAATTGAAATTAAATTGGAAGCTTACGACATTGATTCTATACAAACCAAAATAGACAAAGATTAGGGTTCGTCCGGCTACACAAGGACATCGCCACCAAATTTACAATTCAAAAACGAAGGAAGTGGCCCTCTCTCCTCTCCTTAGTCTAGTGCGTCTCCCTTTTCAATATTAATTCAATGAAACTTTATATTGGCCCCATGTCACTTTTTTAAGTTCATCATTTAACTCTCTTTGTCTCTTTCTAATTTTTTATAGTTACTTTGTATTCTATTTTGTTATTAAATTATAGATCTTTTTGTTTTAGATTTTAGATAAATATTGTGCCCTATTATTTTATTTGAGTCTAAATTTAATTAATAGTAAGTGGAAGAATAATTTTTTTTAAAAAAAATATAATTAACAAATAAATTAACTATAAATCAATTACAAGAAAAAAAATGGTATTACCTTTGTGAGTTTATTCATCTTCAAAATATGTGCACATGGAGAGAAGTTCTTTAGTGGGCATTTGGATTAACTTTTCAAAAATAGCTGATAACTAATAATTAATATTTGATAACTAATAATTGTTGTTGTTTAAAACTAAAAGTATTTAATTTGTTTGATTAGAATTAAAAATTGATAGTGGTTAACCAAACTCCAATCCAAACACCCCCTTAGTTTCTATTCCATTTGAAGGTTAATTAATGTTTTTATTTGAATTTTTTTATTTGTTTCAATTTTTTCTATTACAATAGAAAATTTCAAGTTATAAACTCATCTATGATTAATTTTTATTAATTTTAAAATGAAAATTTTCTTTAAATTGTAGGCCATTCATGGTAAATTTAAGTGTGACCATCTTTTACACAAATCAAAATGATGGTTATCTCCATATTCAGGAGTTGTATGGTTAGCACTTTATTTCATCAAAATGTTAGTTTTATAATAATTTTAATTAATATCAATTTATCTTTTTATTTGAAATTAATATTGTTGTCTTTTCATTAATAATCATGTCTATAATATAATATTAAGCCATACCTAAACAAAATCCTGGTTCCACCACTACCTAAAATAATGGAATTTTAGTGAATATGCATATCATTAATTTGAAGGATCTATAAAACAATACCAAGAAGAAATGTTAAAATCAACAAGCCAATTATGATCTATCATTCCATCTACCTATTGTTGCTTACTGTACTAATTAGGGAGTGCATGGCATGGAGGTTGATTTGATAAAGTTTTGGATAAAAAATTTCTCACTCTGGTATTTAATAGGAGGCAAAATCATACACAAAACTATAGGGGTAAAGGCAGGACAACGTAAAACTTTTATTTAATTTGAATCTCAGGATTAATTTTTTTTTTTAAAAAAAGTTGACAAAAAAAACTTAAAAAAAAAAATCTTTTTTAATTTAAAAAATTTTCTAAGGTCGGTAGTAGAGCAGTGCCTTGTGGGTGGCGGAGAAAGTAGCAATGCTGATTCCTTTCAGCTTGGACTTGGAGTCTTGGATCCGTACGTAACACAATGAAATAAAATTTTGATTATTTCATACCAAACGTTTTATTGGCTATACCTAGTGCTCGAGTTGGAGGAATTCAAGATTGCCATTGAACCACAAAACTCCTTTGCAACA